GCATATAGCCTAAACATATTTTTTAGCATGAATCACAACTCAAGTGGTCTAACACTTAGAGTATAGTAATAATGTCTAGATAAGACAGCTACACAATTCCATGGAATCGACTAAATCATAATTACTACGGTGCACGCCCAAATGTTGGTCACCTCAACACCAATCACATAACACAAAATTCGGTGTTTCATACCCTCAGAACCAAGTTTAGAAGTATTACTTACCTTAAGCAGTGCAAAATTCTACTCCAACAAGTCCCTGCCTCGCGAATCAGCCTCCAAATGCCCCGAATCTAGCCATAACCAATTCGATACAATCAACACGAGCTAAAAGAATCTATTCCATATAAAAATTCTAAGTTCTTAATCAAAAGTCAAAAACGTCAACTCAAAGGTCAACCCCTAGGCCCACGTCTCAGAATCCGATGAAAGTTACAAAATCTGAACACACATTCAACCACGAGTCCAACCATATCAAAATTACTCAAATCCGATATCAAAATCTCGCGCAGATCTCCAAAATTCGGCCTAAGAAGTTTTCTCCATTTTGCCCAAATTTTCAACCCAAACCACTGATTAAATGGTGAAATTAAGTATATAATCATAGAATTTAACCAAAACTAATTAAGAATCACTTACCCCAATTATTCCCTTGAAAATCTCTCAAAGAATCGCCTCCAACCGAGCTCCCAAAATCAAAGCACTGCCCAGATCTCCTTAATCGCTATCGCGGAAAATGCTTCGCGATTTCAAAGCACAACTATGCTGCCCCACAAATTAACCTTATGCGAACGCAAAAATCTCCACGCGAACGCGATGCACTGGCCCTCAAACTTACGCGATCGCGAACGACTTCACGCGTTCGCGATGAACAAATGCGCGTGACCCAGCTTCTACCTCATTTACTCAACACGATCGCGACCTTAGCCACACGTTCGCGATTCACTGCTTCGCACAACTACGCGATCACATCCCTCCACTCGCGAATGCGTAGAACAAAAACTTCAGCTGCCCAATTAAGTCTACACGATCGCGGACCTGTCCATGCGATCGCGTATAAGGAAACTAGACCTGTGCACCAGAAAAACTTTAGCAATCTTCGAAGTCCAAAATTTGATCCGTCAACAATCCAAAACCCACCCGAGGCCCCAGGGATCTCAACCAAATATACCAACAAGTCATAAAATACGATACGAACTTAGTTGAGGCCTCAAATCACATCAAACAATATCAAAAATACAAATCTCACCTCAATTCAAGCCTAATGAAAATTAGGAAATTCCAACTTCTACAATCGATGCCGAAATCTATCAAATCACGTCCGATTGACCTCAAATTTTGCAAACAAGTCATGAATGATACAACGGACCTACTCCAACTCCCTGGACCAAAATTCGAGCTCGATAACCACAAATTCAACTCTCTCAAAATTCTCAATTTCCAAAACTTCTAATTTTCCAACTTTTGCTATTTCTAGCCAAATTCCACTACGGACCTCCAATTCACTATCCGGACATACTCCTAAGTCCAAAATTACCCTACGGAGCTATCAAAATTATCAAAACTCTATTCTGGAGCCAATTACACATAGGTAAACATCCGGTCAACCTTTTCAACTTAAGCTTCCAATCTTGAGACTAAGTGTCCCAACTCATTTCGAAACATCCCCAGAACCGAACCAACTACCCCGACAAGTCACATAATAACCATTAAGCATAAAATGAGCAGTAAATGGGAGAATAGGGCTACAACACTCAAAACGACCGGTCGGATCATTACACTGATCCCCCTTCCCCTGGTCCTTAACCTTATGCGTTCGCGAAAGGCTGTCCGCGTTCGCGAAGGGCAACCCCCCAAGGCTTCGCGTTCACGTACATGCCATCGCGTTCGCGATGAAGGAAAACTCCCCCAGGCTATATTACTCTTCGCGATCACGGGAGTACCTTCGCGATCGTGAAGAAGAAAACACCAGATGACAGCAAAAGCCAAAACCAAAATTTTCTTAAGTTCAACAATATCTGTAGCCTATCCGAAACTCACCCGAGCCCCTCGGGCCCAAAACCAAACATGCACACAAGTCTAAAAATATCATACGAACTCGCTCGCGTGATCAAAATACCGAAATAATACCTAGAACTACGAATCGGATACCAACACAATGAATTTTTCGAAGAAGCTTAAGAACTTTTATTTTAACACCCGGACGTCCGAATCACGTCAAATCAATTTTGTTTTGCACCAAAATTTGCATACAAGTCATAAATATAATAATGAACTTATACAAAATTTCGGAATCTGAATTCGGACCCGGTAGCAATAAAGTCAAACTTGGAATTTCTTTAAACCTTTAAACTTCTAGTTTTCAACAAATGGCGATAATTCGAGTTAGGGACTTTCGAATTCGATTTTGGGCATACGCCCAAGTTCCAAATCACGATACGGATCCACAGGGACCGTCAAAATATCGATCCGGGTCTGTTTGCTCAAAACGTTGACCGAAGTCAACTTAAATAAATTTTAAGGCACGATTTCATATTTTCATCAAATTTTCACATAAAAACCTTTCGAAAAAAGACACGGATTGTGCACGCAAATTGAGAAAGGTTAAACGGAGCTAGTCGAGGCTTCAGAACATAAAAATGAAGGTTAAAACTATAAATGACCTATCGGGTCATCACAATTCAACTATTAGAACAAATAATTAAGTACTTTCTCTTCATCAATTTTACGTGTAATATTTTAAAAATTACACTCAATAGTTACAAATAAATAAATAAATAAATAAATATGTAAAAATTTTAAAAATAAAAAATAAATTTTATATTAGACACAATTGAAGGAAAACAACCTAAGATATAATGTGAGATTATTCAATTACATGTTTGGTTGAATATTTTTCGGTATAAGAAATTGCAAGAATAGTTATACCACAATCTTATTTAGCTACTATTTTTATTCTACATTTATGTGGGATAATAATTTAAAAATTAGCTATCTCAGGATAAAATAATTAAATAACCAAAATATCCTTCTCCAAAGCGCTTATTCCAACATCCTTTAAGAAAACCAATATTAAAGTTAAAAATAAAATTTTATCCAAGTTTTATATATGGAAAAATCAAATGTAATTTTTATGTTATACTCCATATTTTTTATTTTTAATCCAATGGACCAAATATTTATAAATCGAAAGTATATCTAATAAATATTTGTTTCTTATTTAAGTTTCGTATTATAATTTTCGCATTATAATACAAGTTTTTTTTTTTTTTGTGAACCAAAAGAACCCGTAGGGTACATAAATTTATTTTTATAAGGGAGAGGATTGGCGCTAAAAATATGTAGACAATTAGAAAAAAATTAACTATATTATAATATTGAGAGTCAAATCGGTAAAATTACGAACTTGAAACAATAATAAGATATATAGGAGAGGACAATATTATGTATTCTAAATGAATGTATTAATTATTTTTCTATTTTTAAATTTATTTTAACAAACGACAACTTCGGATGTCTCTTTAATACATTTCTAAGTTATTTTTTGTAAAATATTAACTCAATATCAGTCCTTTTTTATATTTTACACTATAGTTACCAATTTTTCCTTGAGCTATAGGGACAACCTCTTCATTCTCAAATCTCTAAAGAGAAAAAAAGATTTAATTTTTAAATTGATTTTACTTGATAAATGTTTAAAGAATCTTGATAATAATATTTATGCGTTAATTTCTTGTTTTTAATATTAGGTCACGAAAATAACTATAAATATCATAAGATATTCCCGCATAAGTCTTTAGAAATAAGAATAAAATACTTAAGGATCTTTATAAAGAAGGATTTCTTTGTGATCAACATTCATCATATTCATCATTTTCAAGAATACTTTTTGTTTTATAACCCAAAGATATTTTTTAAATTTTCCTTTTGTGATTTTTTAAAATAATATATTCATTAATATGAGGTACACGCGTACCCTATGACTGGTAGTAGAAAAATAATATGAAGTCATTTTTTAAGAGCTGAGCGCTCCCATACTTTTAAAGCAGATTCAATTGGTCAGAAGCATAGCTGATCTATTTTGGGTAACGAAAAATGCAGGGATCACAATAACCAATTGATATTACGTCAGTTATGATGACTTAAACCGCAAAGAAAAATCTGTGTATGTCTGTTACGTACGCCCTAAATCGGATTGAATTCTACAGCGAAAAATGCGATCAACATGGATTTAAGAAATAGAATCAAGCAAGCTACCTTATATATTGTTGTTGCACATTATTAAGAAAAGTGAAATAATTAACAATAAGATAAGACTCACACTACTAGGAAGCTTTGCAAAATAATTAATTTAGAGGTAGGTAAACTATAACATCTGAGCACTTCTAGGATTCGTTTTAGATGTTATCACTTCAAGAAAATTATAGCTTCATGCTTAGGTACCTTATGCACGGAGCCAATTGTTAATAAAAGGTTGAGGTACTTCCGACAGCCACTACAAGAAAAGGCTCATTTTGTGGGGGTATTTTTAAGTTTTGTGGCATTTTTTGACCCCTACAAAATGAATTGTGGTGGTTTCAAAAAACGCCAAAATTACCTTCGCCGCGAGCATTTCTATGGCAATTTTGTAAAATCTCCACGACGACCGTCACAATATAAATTTTTAATTTGTGACGGTTTTTAAAGGCAATTAGCGACGGTTTGTAACACCTAAAATATGATCTCAATATTTTTAAAAAAATAATGTGAGGGGGTTATAAATCCCCACAATTTGATCTCAGTCTTTTTAAAAAAATAATCAGTGGCAGCTTATAACTGCCACAATAGTGGAAAATTTTAATTCAAGGATTCAACAAATAAACTCAATAACTCATACAACATAAATCCATTCCATTAAGAATATCTATAGTAACAAACATCAACACATTCAAATTCATATCACACTAAAGTTATAAAAACATATTTGATAATTTAAACATTATACATTCTACAGATGTCCATAATAAATAAATATGCAGATGTGCTAAGTATTTGCTTGGTGATTTGTATTGTTGTCACCTGATCATATTCTCACATCCACCGAATGAAGCAGGCTCACTCTACATATCACATGTTGAAACAGAGAATTTTGATCAAAAACTTATAAAGGAATAAAATTTTGCCAATAAGCTAAAAGGAAGATCTTGGTATATAAATAAACGAAAGGTCTGATTCTTCTTACAAGTAAATCTGTTACTTGATCTAACAATAGCATTGAACTGAAATTGTTAGATACTCACATGAATAAGAGCTAAAGTACAAAGCTATTTCCTTGGATATCATCACAACACTTACATCCACAAACTATTTTACTTGATAGCATAAATTCTTGCCATATATTCACGAAAATCATAATGTAACTAATAAAATATAAATTAACCAATATAGGCTTTCTAACATTAGAATCAAACAAATAAATTATAAGTTGTAATCTATCCCAATGATTAACAAACTTGCATCGAAACTGAAGGCTAATAACACTATAAAATTGAAGTAGAAGAAATGAACTGAATAAAATAGGAGTGGTCTAATAGGAGTAGTTAGTTAAACAAATCAAGCATGTTAAAATCTGTTGGATCCAACTTCAAACAAAAGAAGAAACAAATTAAAACGCGCAAAACTTTTTTTAAGGCATGAATTCCACTAGTAGCTGTATTATCCGCGAAAACTACAAGAAAATATATAACAAATTACTCTTAGTTACTTAATGTGACCTGGGGAAAAGATGTGAAAAGATTTAGGAGATGAGTTAACAAGCATAACTTACCACTAAATACCATCATAACAGCATATCAATCTGTTAAACTAAAATATGCATAGATTAGCATTCAATCAAGTTGGCTTCATCAAAGTTTGTCCATAGAATTACTCCACAGTAAGAGATCCTCTTATGGGGAACACATACGAATACAAGATATAAAAAATAAGGTGAATCAAATGTGAATACCATTTCTGAACATACCTTTAAACCAAATATGAATGTCATCTCTAAACATACCTATAAACGAAATAAATAAGCACTACTTAAAGATGCAATATTGTTACCTTTAGATAAAATACCATAATAAATAAAATATTTATTCGGATTTGTATGTATTTGTTGCTAAATAAGTAGGAGTATTTGCCTCGACTACATCATCAATTAGATGGTCTGTAACTAGTTATATCCTAACTCTTAGTATGGCTCATTTTCATAACCTTCATCTTTCACAACTTCTTATGTATCATACAAATCTCTTGGCTTTAGGTTTACATAAAGCACTCTATCCTTAATTGAAAACATCATCTACGTAGTACACCATATTTATGCTTGAGATACTTCGATGTAAGGCTCATGTCCTTCATCCTCAATCTCGAGTAATTATATAGAAAGTTGGAGTTTATTTTCTTTTTCCAAATAAATAAAATATCAGTAACATGCAAATAATTTACCTGCCTAATGATCTTTGTCTGCTAGAAATATTCAAATTTGAAGGCATATATAAAATAAGTTCAAAAACTTATGCGAGCCGTAGATAAGCTAGTTTTTACAATAAAATGAGTCAACTTACTTGATAGCGGGTTTGAAATTACACCATGTCCAGTACTCTTAGAAACGTGCACATCTGCAATAATGATATGATGCAAGACATATTACTAGAGGAAGTTTTCATCTGCAGTAATTTATTTTTTAAGGGAAGTGAAAAACTAAACTACTAAAGTATGAGCTAGAGAAGAATAAATTTGTCACCATAGCAAGTAAAAGAGATGCATTCATTGAAGACCATGTACTGTTTTGATATTCCTCAATGTAGAAGTGAGAAAAATATTAGCAAGTTCCCTGACTGAATAATCCGCAGAATAAAATGCATTTATGCTCTCCCAATTCCCATATTATATTAATTTATGGGTCAATCAATTTCAACATCACACAACAGAACTAAATTCTAATTGGAATCTGGAAAAAACTTTGCGTTAAATAAAGGAGCTTCTTACTACAACACTGAGTAATTTGTAGCCAGAAGCAAAATATCTAATGGTCTTCCCTCGAATGACAACACTCTTTAAAAAAGAGAATAAATTTCAAGCTAGATTGTTCATAAGGGTTTTATTACTGGTTCAAGCAATAACTACAACTGAAAAACCCAAATTCTACTACTATTGAGATAAAGAAAATAAATGAAATTAAGAGGAAAAGAAAAAAAGAAAAAAAATCACCTTTAGACGAGCAGCGACATTCTGAAGTTGATTCGCCCAAATGGATACTTCACTTCAGAAATTCCCAAGACACAATGCAATACCAATAAATCGTATTCCTAGCCTGAAAATACCTTAATAAAAAATTACTTAAATTGAAACAATGGAGCAACACAAAAGACATAATCCGTGATTTAAAAATTAGAGCAGGAGCCATAAATTGAGATGAAGAATAATACTTACAAAATGTAACTAATATGGATAGAAAATTGAGATAGAGAGCATATGAAGGGAAGCAATGCACTAGAGAAGAAGCACTTCAGCCGAGGTGTTGAAAAGGGAAAACCTAGGGCTAGAGGCATAATGGAATTAAAAGAGGGAAAGTGTAATGATCCGGCCGGTCGTTTCGAGAGTTGTAACCCTGTTTTCCCCTTTCCTACTTCTTTTGGTGTTATTCAATAATATTATATTATATCGGGTTAGATGGTTCGAGTCCGGAAGGAACTCGGAGTGAAATGAGACACTTAGTCTCATAATTGAAAATTTTAAGTTAGAAATGTGAACCTGATATGGACCTATATATAAACGGCCTCAGATTTGAATTTTGATGATTCCAATAGCTCCGTATGGTGATTTTAGACTTAGGAGCGTGTATGGAATATTATTTGGAAGTCCGTAGAGGAATTAGGCTTGAAATGCTGAAAGTTTAATTTTTGAGAAGTTTGACCACGGGGTTGACTTTTTGATATCGGGGTCGGAATCAGATTCTAGAAATTGAAATAGCTCCGTTATGTCATTTATGACTTGTGTGCCAAATTTGAAGTCATTCCGGATTCATTTAACCTGTTTTGGCACAAGATTTGTAAATTGAAAAGTTTGGAAACTCAAAAGATCGAACCGAGGTGTGAATTATAATTTTAGCATCGTTTGACATGATATGAGACCCCGAGTAAGTCCATATAATATTTTAGGACTTGTTGGTATATTTGGTTGAGATCCCGAGGGTCTCGGGTGAATTTCGGGTGGTCAACGAAATTTAATTTTGGCATTTCAAGAACGTTCGACGT